AATGTTAGCTGATATATTAATGCTCTAAAAGAACCTGTAACTTCCCTCCATTAGTATATAAGGCAGCTCTAAGTGCTGCCTTATATTCTGTATTTACAGTATGCAGTCTGCAGTGAAGCAGTGGGACTGGGTTCCTGCTGTCTGTGCTGTTGTGGAGGTTCAGGTTCAGTGAGGTGAGTCAGTGCTGATCAGCTGACTGACCTCCGCTGACAGACAGCAACAGTAATTAAAGTGAACAGAGACAGTAATGAAGTGTCCAGCAGCTCGTCACAGTCTCAATTAACAACGTTCACGTTTCATCGACCATCAGCGGTCGCAGGATGAAGACGAGACCACCACAGAGCCTGCCCCCCCCCCAGTGTGGTGTCACATTAACACTTTCATTTAGATTCATTTAAAAAATAATGTGTAAAAACCGAAAATGGAATAATCTGTTAGGGCCACATTTCAGACTGATCAGCTGAGACTGGATGAAAAAGACGTATTTAGTTGAAGATTTGGAAATAAAACAATGTATTGATTTCTAATGCCGCCTTTAGATATTTCTATTCAGTACTAATGTGCCACAATAATGTTTCTGAGATCAAATATCTTCATTTGGGGGCTTTTCCAAGCAAATATTCATATGTTATTACAGTCTCTATGAATATCTCTCTACAGCTGCTCTGTTGTCAGAGGAAACTGAGAGTGGTCCCATAGAGAAGAGAAATATGAATAATATTATATATTTTATTAATAAATCAAAAGGTGTAAATTGTTTCAAAAATCATTCAGGTTTTGTTTCTATCTTCATTATTTTAAATCACTAAATGACTTTCATGTAGATTATGTTGTAAACCAGAGTCTCTCCTGAACCAGGAGGCTTTAAACAGAATTTGAAACATTTTTTTTACTTCACAAGAAACAAATGCATCATAATATAAAAAGCGATTTATTGTACAAAAAAGATTTTGGGATGAGATTTATTTCTGGTTTGAGTTTACCGGCAGTTAAAAGACAAACGGATCCTAAATACTGTTTTTTATATTCAGTTTCAGGTTCTGATTGCAGAAGTAATATAATTAATTATAACAACACGCCTAAGATGGTTTATACAGTACATTAAAGTCTGTCTGAATTGGACATAAAATAAAAGATCATTAACCTGGTTTTCAACAGGTCTTATTGGTTCACTGTGGTTTTAATTGTCCTGTTTGAGTTGTAAATGATCTTATTTCTAATTGAGAACAGAAGGAGTCTATTTGCCTTTGGGCTCCTCGGGGCTTTGTTCATACAACTCTAACAGGCTGTGAAACAGAAATAACTAACTTCTTACTCTACAGAGATTATTTTCACTCTGCACTTTCAGAGAAAATTGATTTTTCCACTCAATTCATTTCACCCGACAGTCGCATTAATCAACACAGTAATTCCCCTCTCTGGATATGAGAGACTTTTGAATGCTAATTACTCTTTTAAAGTGTGTTTGATGTTGCTGAAGGTAAAAGCTGAACTCACTGCGTCGCCTCCCACGGCTTTAATTATCTCATTAATCATGAGGGCTACTAGACGGTGGAACCTGCAGTCAGCAGAACGGAGAACACGTTGGAAATCACAGGTTCTGTCAACTGTTCACTAAACAACAAAATCAATTTTAGATGAATTATAAAACTCAGTGTGTCACCTGGCTCAGTGTGTCACCTGGGGGTCAGCAGACAGCAGCTTCACGGCTGCTGATCATCAGGTTCAGTCCTGTTTATATTCAACAGGTTTCCACTCCCAACTCGTTTATACTGTCGCTTGGTTGGTGGCGTTCTGATTCAAAATATGAGGCTGTAGGAAACCTCTATGGGGCTAAATAAAACCTTCTTACAGCTATGTTTATTAATGTGCACTGTCCCTTTAAATAAGAAAACACACAAACATACGCCATTATGGGATAGAAACATCTGTCACAGTGGCCCCCACTGTTCAGTGGTGAGAACATCATATCTACTAAAAAGCAAACGTCTGACTACCTCCAGCATCAAACACTGACGTGTGTGTGTGTGTGT